TCTTAACCAATGTGCCACTTGGCCGGCCTGAAATAACAACTTAAGTAGAAGAGACACGTAAAGTCAATTTGGAAAATTTGCTCTCTTCGCTGGTCTAATGAATTCTCCATTGCATAAAATAAATGTGGTTCTGACTTTGAGGCCTTTGTGCATTAAGATAGGAAATGTAGGGCCGGCCGAGTGGCGCGATGGTTAAGAGCTGGCTTGGGATGCCAGAGGGCCTGGTTCAGATCCCACATATGAGGGCCAGTGACACTGCCCTCTACAGCTAAGATGCTGAACAACAGCTCAACCTGGAGTTGGGCTGCCAGGAGTCACGGGCAATGGCGTAGCCTGCAGTGGAGCTGCAGTGGGCTGCTATAAGCTACCTTGAGCGGCCATCCAGTAGCCAGGACCAATCTGCCTCACCTGAAAAGAGCACAATGATAATACCAACATGGGCCAGTGAAGCGACGTCCTCCACAACTAGACTGAAGAACAAAAGGACAGCAACTCGTCTGTTCCCCTTCCTCAATTTCCCAACGTTATTCCCCTCCCCCAGTTCCCCCAATAAAATATATTTTTTTTAAGTTGTTGGTTACCGTCGAATCGTTGCCTTGGGCGGACGCTTACCTTTTCTCCGATGCGCCCGCTCTTCCTGCCCAGTCGCTCTGCTTCCGCGCCGCCCACCTGCCGGCAGGATGGCCCACAAGCAGATCTGCTACTCAGACAAGTATTTCCACGAGCACTACGAGTACTGGCATGTCATGTTACCCAGGGAACTTTCCAAACAAGTTCCCAAAACCCATCTGATGTCTGAAGAGGAGTGGAGGAGACTTGGTGTCCAACAGCGTCTAGGCTGGGTTCATTACATGATTCATGAGCCAGAACCACACATTCTTCTCTTTAGACGACCTCTTCCAAAAGATCAACAAAAATGAAGTCTATCTGGGGATCGTCAATTTAATCTTTTTCAACTTTAATGTGTATGTGTATATAAGGTAGTATTCAGTGAATGTTTGAAAAATGTACAAATCATTTGTCCATACCTGTGCATGAGCTGTATTCTTCACAGCAACAGAGCTCAGTTAAATGCAGCAGCAAGTGAGTTACTGTAAGGTGTTTAAGATAAAATTTCTTCTGGTCAGTTTTTCTCTTAACATAAGTTCCTGTTTGACTTTACCTGTTCCTTTTGTTAAATAAAGTTTGTATGTTGCATTAAAAAAAAAGTTCTTATTTCAACAAAAATGCGCTTACCTGAGAGAAGCAAATAGAATAAACTGAAAGGCTAAAATTTACTATCCTACAAAAAATATATATACTTATTGGATAAACGCATTACATTCCAGTTGTAACAAATTATAACAGTAGCTGTATAAAAAAATCAAATTCATGTTCTTACTGTTTTAGATTTTAGAACCCTGAAACAAGTCTCAATAGACTAAAATCAAGATGTTTGCAAGGCTGATTCCTTCTGGAAGCTCCAGGAGAGAATCTGTTTCCTCTCCTGTTGCAGTTTCTCATGGCCACAAGCATTCCTTGGCTCCTGGCCTCCCTCCATCTCTAAACCAGCAGTGGAGCATCTTCCAATCACCCCTGATTCCAACTATTCTTCCTTTTCTTCCACATTCTAGGATTGCAGTGATTACATCAGTCCCACCTACATAATCACTGCCAACCTTCTTATCTTAAAGCCACAGGCTGATAGCAAAAGTATTCCAAGGGCTAAACTGCAGGCTGATAGAATAAGTATTCCAAGGACTACCTTAATCCTCTCCTCACTATAAAAAATAATGTATTCAAAGTTTCCAGGGATTCGGATGTAAACATCTTTTGGAGGCCCTTATTCTGCCTATTACAAAGTCTTTTCAGAACTGTATTATCTGCTGACACCAAAGGGCCCTCATGTAAAATAAACAACACAGAAATGAGTGAATACAGTCGTGCACTGCATGATGACATTTTAGTCTGTGAGGGAACCGCATATACAGTGATGCTCGCATATGATAACGTTGCTAAAAAATTTCTATCACCTAGTGACATCATAACCATGGTAACATCTTTGTAATACAACACATTGCATGAATATTTACCATCGTGTAACAGTTGCCTACAGTATTCACTATAGTAACATGCTGAACAGGGTTGTAGACTAGGAGATGCAGGGTAACAGAATTTGTCACCCTAAAGTATGTCAATTTGGTGTAAGGATTATTTTAGGCTGGTTAATTTTAAGAAACAGCAGACTTGGGAGANGAAGGCTGCATCACCCAGATGTATTTTTTCCTACTTTTTGGCACGTTGGATGTCTTTCTCCTGACCGTGATGGCCTATGACCGCTTTGTGGCCATCTGTCACCCCCTGCACTACACTGTCATCATGCACCCCCAGCTCTGTGGACTGCTGGTTCTGGTGTCTTGGATCGTGTGTGTCCTGATTTCCTTGTCACATAAATTAATGGTGCTGAGGCTGTCCTTCTATACAGACTTAGAAATCCCCCATTTTTTCTGTGAACTCAATCAAATGATCCAACTTGCCTGTTCTGACACCTTTCTTAATAACGTGGTGATGTATTTTGCAGCTGTGCTCGTGGGTGGTGGTTCCCTGGCTGGTATCCTTTACTCTTATTCCAAGATAGTGTCCTCCGTACGTGCAATGTCGTCATCTCAGGGGAAGTATAAAGCATTTTCTACCTGTGCGTCTCACCTCTCAGTTGTCTCCTTATTTTATTGTACTATATTAGGAGTGTACCTCAGCTCTGCTGTGACCCACAGCTCACAGGCAAGTGGAATAGCTTCGGTGATGTACACTGTGGTCACACCCATGCTCAACCCCTTCATCTATAGTCTCAGAAATAAAGACATAAAGGGAGCTGTGAAAAGATTATTTGGGGCGGTAGGAACAAAGGGACAATTGTCCTTAGGCTGAAAAAGTGCCCATGATTTCATGGCTCCAAGTCAAAATTCTGACATACTCATTTTTTAATCAGATTGTGTTTGTTGAAGTTTCTTCTTTTAGTTACATGTATTCTAGAATTCCATTTGTTTGAGTTCAACTTGTCTACACAATTTTTAGAAGTTATTTATTTTTTTCAGTTACAATTGATATTCAATATTATTTTATACTAGTTTCAGGTGTAGTGGGTAGAGATTTATATAATTTATGTAGTGATCCCCCTTTTAACTAGTACCCACCTGGCGCTATACATAGTTGTTGCAATATTATTTACTATATTTTGCATGCTGTACTTTACATCCCTGTGACTTATTTGGAACTACCAATTTGTATTTCTTTTTATTATTATTATTGTTAGTTTCAGGTGTACAGAACAATACAATAGTTATCCTTTTCACCCTTTGCACAGAAACAACGCCCCTCCCCCATCTACTGCCCTCCCATCCGTGTATTTCTTAATCCTTCACCTTTTTCACCCAGCCTCTCAACCCCCACCCCTCTGGCAAACATCAGTTTGTTCTCTGTATCTATGAGTCTCTTTCTTTTGTTTGCTCATTGATTTTGTTCTTTAGATTCCACATATAAGTGAGATCCTATGGTATTTGTCTTTTCTGTCTTCTTATTTCAATTAGCATAATACACTCCAGGTTCACCCATGTTGTCACAAATAGTAAGATTTCATTCGTTTCGGGGGCAAGCAATAATCCATTGCATGTACTCGTATGTACCACATCTTCTTTGTCCAATCAACAATTGAATGGCACTTAGATGTCTTCCATATCTTGGCTATTGTAAATAATGTTGCAGTGACCTAGGGGTGCATATATCTTTTCAAATTAGTATTTTGGATTTTTTTGGATAAATACCCAGAAGTAGAATTGCTGTGTCATAAGGTAATTCTATTTTTAGTTTTTGAGGAAACTCTATACTGTGTTCCATATTGACTGAACCAATTTGCAATCCCACCAAGAGTGCAAGAGGGTTCCCTTTTCTCTAAATCCTCACCAACACTTTTGTTTGTTGATTTTTCATGATGGCCTTTCTGACAGGTGTGAGGTCATATCTCATTTTGGTTTTAATTTGCATTTCTCTGATGATTAGTGATGTGGAGCATTTTTTCATATATCTACTGGGCATCTCTATGTCCTCTTTGGAGTAATGTCTATTCAGGTCCTCTGCCCATTGTTTAATGGAATTCTTTGTTTTTTTGAGGTTGAGTTGTATGAGTTCTTTATACATTTTGGATATTAACCTTTTATCAGATGTATCATTGGTAAATGTCTTCTCTCAATCAGTAGGTTTTCTTTTCATTTTGTTGATGGGTTGTTTTTCTTGCTGAGCAAAAACTTTTTAGTTGGATGTAGTTCCATTTGTTTATTTTTTCTTTTGTTTCCCTTGCCAAAGGATATATCAGAAAACAAATGTTACCAAGTGCAATGTCAGGGAGATTACTGCCTAAGTTTTCTCTAGGAGTTTCATGGTTTCACGTCCTACATTTAAGTCTTTAATATATGTCAAGTTTATTCTTGTATATGGTGTAAGAAAGTGGCCTAGTTTCATTTTTTTTGCATGCATCTGTCCAGATTGTTTTGGCTATTCTAGGTCTTTGGTGGTTCCATATACATTTTAGGATTGTTTGTTCTATTTCTGTGAATAATTCTATTGGACTTTGGATAGAGATTGCCAGGAATCTGTAAATTACTTCAGGCATTGCTAAAAAACAAAAATCAACTGAGTAAATTTGGAGATCTAATTGGCTTTATTAAGGGATTCATGAATGAGCAGAAAGCTGAATGAAATGGTTAGTAAAACTGCATAGAGAAAAATGCCATTGGTATTTTGATAGGGATTGCATTGAGTCTACAGATTGCTTTGGGTAGTGTGTACTTTTTAACGATATTAATTCTTCTTGTCTAATAGCACAATATATGCTTTCATGTGGGATGGAGCGGGCCCATGTGACCCATTACCTTACTGGCTCTTTAACAGAAATTTCCAGACTGATTAAGATTTCATTTCTAGTAGAAGTGGAAACTGACATTAGGTCCGGGATTAAATCTATGTTTGATCTTGAACTTTTAGCACAAGTGATGCCATTTTGGACCTGTGATTTCTCTCTTTAACTGTAGTATGAACATTTTAAAAATATTAATTTTTCCAATTATTGAGCACAAAATATCTTTCCATATATTTATGTCTTTGTTAAAATGCATAAAGTGGTGAATTATAGGAGCCACACAGAAATTAAGACTACATATTGCATGGCTATATGTATATATAATATGTATATATAAATATAATTACATATAATTATATATATATATTAATTGTATAAATATTTGTAATTAATATATATAATCTATATATAATTAATTGCTTTGTTATATGATTGTAAAAAATGTAATCACCCTGATCCTATTTCCTCCTTTCTGATGGTGATATGGGTGGATGAACCTAATTAAGGTGGATGCTGTGAATAGTAAATAATATGTTTGGAAATATTTGGTGAGCCTGAGAACAAATTTACAGGTAAAGAGTGTATACACATACATATGTGCCCATTTTTACCTTAGTCCATTTCAGGTAAACACACACACACACACACACACACACACACAACACAGACTCATTAAGAATGTCACCTTTAATTTTGAAAGAAAACTGGAAACAATTTGGAGAGAATAGAATTTAGAGTAGAATGGTTGACCTTAACTTTAATAGTGAATTACATTTCCTATCTTTTTTTTTTTTAAAGATTTTTATTGGGGAATTGGGGGAATGGGAACAGTGCTGGGGTATTGTGGGAAGGGAAACAGACAAGTTGCTGTCGTTTTTTGTTCTTCAGTCTAGTTGTGGAGGACGTTGCTCCACTGGCCCAAGTTGGCACCATCATTGCGCTCTTCCCAGGTGAGGCAGATCAGTCACTGTCTTCTGGACGGCCGCTCACGGCAGCTGCTGGCTGCTCACGCTGGCTGCCAGCTACACACGGTAGCCCATGGGAACCCGCTGCCACAGGGACTGCAGCCTACGCCGTCGCCCATGACTCAGGGCAGCCCAGCTCCAGGTTGAGCTGTTGTTCAGCATCTTAGCTGT